TGGCATGCTCAATTTTCATGTAAACCTAATGTACTTTTCCTTATTGGAGAACTATTGACTATTAATAAAGAGCAAACTTTAAAATCTATTTCATATTTCAAACCTGGCTTTCTCATTTTGAACATGTTACTTAACTCTCTCTGAGTTTTAATAATTAATTGAATGAAAGATATCAGTGTATCTAGAGTACTTAGCATCTCAGTTACTATGAATATTAAATGAGGTACTCCCAATAAAACATAGAGCACACATGTTACTGAGCATAGTACTTGGCCTAAGTAGCATCCAGTAAATGTTAGCTATTTTCAGGATGTCCTCAGGATCTCACAGTAATACTTCTTTAGTACCAGTCAGAAGACTAACTAACATTATTAATGTTAAAGTTTAACTAAGTCTCAACATGCTTTGAGATATCCTTTCACATTTCAGCTTTGATACTTTTAGTTAAACATATATATTAAATCCTGTCTTTATACTTAATGGTCCTGACTTTCCTCCAAAGAATGACTCTAGTTGTTTTCCTTTGAAGATAACTTTTATGACAATCTCTATCAAGATGCTCCATGTCTACAACGTGTCTTTGCCCATTCATACTTTTCTCAACTATAATCTTTCTTTGGTTTTTCAAGAGAGGGTTTTGGAAATCTCTTTGTAGATGAGACTGGCCTTGAACCAGAGATCCGCATGCCTCTACATCCCAAGTACTGAGATTAAAACCATGTGCCACCACTACCTGGTTCAGCTAAAATCTTATTAGGCAACACATAGACTATATAGACTTATGTGGGCTGGGTAGCCACTTTGGTAATAGTTAAATGGGAAAGAAAACTTGGCTATGTGGATTTGAAGGTTCAAGATTGTCAAGATAGTTGTGAGCTGGAGCCATCCAATGGCAGTTTTATCTGTTTGAGTTGAAGATGAAAGGTTATTCACTGTAAGAACTGTTTTCACTGAAGGATCTTTAAAAGACTAGAAGATGTATTAAAGGAGAGCAAGTTCCTGAGGTAATTAGGTCTGCACTGGGCAGTTTCACAAAAACTGCACTACTACGTTATGCATTATTTTATCACAATGGCTTAGGTGTGCAAATAATGTTTGTCAGCTCCAGTCTTTGCAAAGCAGCCCCAGGAGGGGAAAAAAACATGACAGTATCACTTGCTAGTGTAGTATAGTATAAAATTTAGTTGTGAGTAAGCAGAATTGATTATATTTCTTCTGCGTTAAATGAAAGTGTAATTAAAAGCTGGGTAGGACAGTCAGGTTCACTAGAGGTACTTAAAGGCATGAAAACAATGAGCTTCTCTGTCTCCACACATACAACCTGGCAGAAAGAGCAGTTGCCCTGGTGCTCATTGTTGACTTGTATTAACAGCATTTGCTGATTTCTCTGTAAAAAGCTAGGCATCTTAAGTGCTGCCACCTGGGACACCTTGTAGGCTCAGGCCATGGGTGGAAAAGCAAAATAAGGTTGCTGAGGGATCTGACTAACATTACTCTTCCCCCTAGGGAAATAAATCCTCAGAGATAAGGAGACTGGAGGCAGTATGATATTTGATGACGATGAGCTAAAAAAACCTCATTTGATCCCTGTAGTTTCTGAGTGCTAATACCTTCATTTTAGGCATGAGAAAACCCAACTTTATAAGTCATTAACATAATACAAAATCAAACAAAAGAGTTGTGGAACTGGAATTTAAACCCCTTGCTCTAGCCAGGCGTTGGGCATGGTAGCTCATGCCTGTAATTCCAGCTTGAGGGAGGCTAAGGCAAGAAGATCAGGAGTTCAGGACCCACCTAAGTCAAATGAGGCCTGTTTCAAAAAGAAGACACCACAAAAACTGAATATAAGCTGGGCATGTTAGCACATGCCTGTATTCCCAGTACTTGGATGTAGATTCAGGAGGATGGGGAGCTCAAGGGCCTCATTTGAAACCAGCCTGGGCTACATGGGACTGTTTAAAAAATAAGACAGTGAAGTGAAATAAATAAACTATAGGTGGTCTACCTGTAGAGTCATGATTTTCAAGTGTTGTAACTGCCACCAGAGTTTACTCCATCTCTGGTGTTTTGAGACTTTAACTGAAATTTTGCAGATGAAAGTCTGGATAACACATGGCTAAATAGGACTGACACCATGATTCAGACTCCTGGACCCCTGCCAACCCCACAGCTCACCTCCACTGTGCTTAGAGAGAACAGTCGCCCCATGGGAGAACAGATCCAGGAGCCTGAGTCGGAACATGGTTCGGAACCAGACTTTTTACACAAGTAAGTATTGAAACTCATTTTCTTAGCATAAAAACCTCTAACTCTTAAAAACTAAGAAAAACTGAGCACATTGCTGATGAGATCGTGCAAAAATGAAGCCACAAATGGAAAGTGGATAGTATATAAAAGTCTGCCAACACTATTGTGGACATCTTTTCCTCAAATTTCAGACTTCTCCTGATGCAGTTAGTGGAACAAGCTTCATGTTGTTCAAATAATGTTGACTTTTATCTTTCAAGATTCAATGATAATTTCCTCACCTGCCAAAACTGCAGGAATGTGCTAGAGTAAATAAATTTTAAAGCCTAACACAGGTTTGGGAAAAACTTAAATTTAAATAAATATCAGTTAGTGTTAATACTAAACAACATTTTGTGTGTATATGCTAGGAACAATACTATCTCCTTGCCCTGTCCCATGTATTGCTACTAAAAGTATCTTTTTGCCCTTACTTCTTTAATTAAGTATATTTTTCCACACAGAACAAGTTCACAGCCCTTTGAATGAACAGTGTCTCACTAAGTGCACTTACTTTGCATATGTATTAGGTATATCTGTTTCTTTAATGCATGTTAGGTCCTTGGCAGGAGCCTGTGATCTTTCTTAGGCTGTCTATAATGGAGTCTCGAAGAGATTGTACCACCCTTATCATCCATTTGATGACTTTAATTTAAAGCTAGTTACAGTGGCACACACCTGTAATTCTAGTACTTGGGAGGTAGAGACAGGAGCTCAGAGCTAACCTGAGTACACAGTGAGTTTGAAACCAGCCTGAGCTACATGAGACTTCGTCTCAAAAGAAAAAACCACTCTTTGTGTTGTTTCTGCTCCCCAACTTGAAAATTCTCTTTCTTCTTTACTTATATTTCTGTATATAGTTGGGATAATGATGTGAATTGCACTGATGGATAAGAGAAAATTCCTATCTAAACAAATTAATGTTGAAAATAGAGAAGTATTTTGGACCCTGTGTTTTCATAAGACAACTTTACACCAAAGAATCTTTCTTTCAAACCTGAAATGATAATCTATGCCATCCATTGAATAGCTGAGCCTATTTAAGCTGTTATGCAGTGTTTTGCCTATGCCAGCCTCTTGCATAGATAAGTATGCAAGTATACCTACTGTCCTTCCTTCAGGGTGAGTTCTCCTTCCTTAAGCAACTGCCTTGCTATCCCAACTGTACCATTTATCAGTCCCATTGACCATGGATTGTCTTTTGTTCCCTCCCCTGTATTCACAGATCTTATCAAGGTGGTGACCCCCCAAAGGGTTTTTATCTGCAGAACCACTAAAACCACCTATAAAATGGGGGGAGGATGCCATTTCCCATGTTCTTTTAGTATAGAACACAGGTGAAGATTTCAGTCCATAACACTAAGAAAATATGTGTCAGAAGGATTTCTAAGTACTAAGCAAAGATGTGTTATATCCTTTTTTAATGCTTCAGAGTTTTCAACTCATTATGTGTGTTCCTTAGGGGCTTGTTGCCTAGCTGAGTACACAAGTATAATAGCTTGAAACAAAAGTCTGAGAATGGCCTTATTTGGCAGAGATTGGGGCATGAAGCTAACACATAGTCTAAGGACTAATAGCACCCCAACCTGTTTCTTGTGAACACTTAGAGATACTTGGAAGCAATTCACTTTGTTATTTGCAAAGCAATGGAATAAATCTAAGTCCCTTACCTGACGATTTAGCCAGCCAGCCATGGCTTAATTAGCATGAAGCTAATTCACTATATACATTATCTGTTACACAAAACAAATAATAGTATTCTCTCAGTCCCCAGATGCAGATCTCTTGGTTAGGCCAGCCGAAGTTAGAAGACTTGAATCGGAAGGACAGAACAGGAATGAACTACATGAAAGTGAGAGCTGGAGTAAGGCACGCTGTGTAAGTGTCAAATTAGCATCACAAGAGCATAGCAGCTGTACGGTGCTGCTCATTTGGGTGTCTCTGCTTCTCGGTAGTTAAAATGAATTCTGGCTATGTTCTGCAGCACAGGATCACAGTAGAGGGCATGGGCACTTAAAGCTTTCTGCACACAAATCCTGGTGCTGCTACTCTCCAGATTTATAGACACAGCCAAACTCTAAAACACCTGTCTCTTGGGTTCCTTATTTGTAAAATTGATATATGATTGAACATAGAGGGAATTGATACACAGCTTAGATAATTCATTATTTCTTATTAAAGTTAATTAATTCTACTTTCTGTTGGGTTGAAGTGAAAATTTGAACCAAATTGGGAATAATCCTAATTTTCTTTGAGTCCAGTATAAGAGACGGGACTCCAAGCTGGGCAAGTCTCAACAGCTTTCTGACTACTTTTTTTCTTTCTTTTTTTAAACCAGTCGGGGTCTAATGGAGGAAGATGCTGAGCCCATCTTTGAAGATGTAATGATGTCATCACGGAGCCAGTTAGAAGACATGAATGAAGAATTTGAAGACACCATGGTTATTGATTTGGTAGGAAATTTACCGGGATTTTTTTATTTTTGTTTTTTCCTTTACAGTATATAAGGGCATTGAAGTTTAAAATGATACTCTTGCTGTGGGAGAGGGCCTCGGTGAGGGGTGGTGACCATCAGTGGGCATCAAGATCAGCTTTTGTATTTCTCGGGGCAGAGAGAGAGGGGGGGAGGGAGGGAGGGAGGGAGAGGAGAGGAGAGGAGAGATACAGATATAATTTATTTAACTTTATTTTATATACATTGGTTGAAGGTATCAGATCCCCTGGAACTGGAGTTACAGACAGCTGTGAGCTGCCATGTGGGTGCTAGAAATTGTACCCGGGTCCTCTGGAAGAACAGCCAATGCTCTTAACTCCTGAGCCATCTCTCCAGCCCCTCTCGGGGCTACTTTTAAGCAATCATTTGGGTCCTAGCCAAAAAAAAAAAAAAAAAACTAGGTTTTCTGTTTGTTTGTTTGTTTTGTTTTTTAAAAAAATCTTTTGGCACAGCATGTATATTTAGCATCTTGTACTTTGAATTAGAACCTAACAATATATACTGTATTCTAACATTTGATAATTAAATATAGAATGTAGAACTTGTATATTCTGTTTACAAAGAGTAACTTTGAGATAAGATTAATATAGACTAGCTAAAGCTAATATGAAGGTTTTTCATGAGTGGTAACACATGAAGCTGTGGTTTTTACAGTTCCATTACATGGCCCAGGATATTGGCATACGCCTGTAACACCCAGGAAGGGATGGGAGTTTGAGACAAGAGGATTGTAAGTTCAAGACCAGCCTAAACTACATACTAAGATCCTATCTCAAAATACGAAACACTGGGACTATGGTCAGTGGTGTATGTGTATAGCACATGCCCAGGGGCCCCAGGTTTAATCTTTAATACCAAAAACAAGTAAAAAGCAAAATTGTCATTGGTTATAGGTAACATTAAAATGTACTATAACTGAAATGACATGAAGGAAAAAGAGCTAATAGACTCGGTGAAATAAGACTGACTTGCTATTTGACAATTGTTAACACTAGGTGGCTGGTAGATTAGTGTTAATGTTCATTATACTACTTTCCCAGTGTTGGCTGCAGCTGCCATAACAAATCCCATTCTTGAACGACTTAACTTGCTGGGAGTCAAGGAAAGCAGAGTTGGTTTTGAGTACTCCTTGACTTTAGATGGCTGGCTTCCTCCATTGTCTTTATGGGCTGGCAAAATGGTTCAGCAGGTTAAGCTGCCTCCTGCTGAGCTTGATCCCCAAGACTCCAAAGGACCCCCAATGTCTTTCATGGTCTTTCCTGAAGCGTTGCTCAGGGATGCCAGTCATTTGACTAGACGCCCTTGCCTGTATTGCTGCAGTTTTGTTTTGTTTTTCTTTTACTACACTAAACCCTTTTAAAAGACCTTGTATCTAAATAGACTCCTATTCTGAAGTTCTAGCACTTCAACATATAAATCAAAGATGGCATAATGAAGCATATATTATTCTGCCTTATATGTTTTGAATTTTCCATCATGAAATGTTTTGGTATAACCTTTGGTAGAACTTTCTGCCCTACTCCTTCCCCAAAAGCATTCCATCTAACTCCTTTGGAGAATTCACTGATATTCAATATGTAATTCATCATTTCTGTAATTACTCTGTCCTTAAAGGGAAGGTATTCTCTGTATTATAAATCCACATTTTTTTTTCATACATAGTCTTGTGGCTAGTGAGATGGCTGAGAAAGAGGCACCCTTGCTCACCTTCCAGAAGACCTGTGTTCAGTGCCCATAACCCACATTGGATGACTCACAGGATCAAACAACCTCTTCTGGCTTCCTGGGCACAAACCCACACACAGATTTTTAAAAAATTTTTTTTAAAAGTCAGGAGTAGTGGCACATACCTTTAATCTCAGCACTCAATAGGCAGAAGCAGGAAGTTCTCTGTTAACATGAAGCCAACTTAGTCTATACAGCAAATTACAGGCCAGACAGAGCTACAAGCAAAAAACAAAAGTATTAATTGAAAGTCTTTCTCTCTTTTGACAATCAAATACTGCTTCATTTTTAAAATCCATACTTCAGATACAAGCCAGATTCTCATTTTCCATTTAAATTTGACTCTTAATTGTCCATATGTGTTTTTGTATTATAAGAAATAGTAATGTTTATTACAGTTCATTTAACTGGCAACATAAATGATTCTCTTTTCAGCCCCCATCAAGAAATCGGCGAGAAAGAGCTGAGCTGAGGCCAGACTTCTTTGATTCTGCAGCTATCATAGAAGATGATTCAGTAAGTACCAAATCATCACTGCTTTTTATTTATACTTCCTCAGTCCTGAGGATATAGAAAATAATTGTATTTCTCATTTTTTTCTAGGGATTTGGAATGCCTATGTTCTGAAGTCTGAAGAAAATTTACAAATCTGGAACTCTATTATTTAGAGCTAGAGGCCTATATACTGTGATAGCTTGTATGGGGGAAGAAACACTTTTGATGTGATCTAATTTGTTTTGTAATCAAATGATTAAAGATTGGTCTCTTTTGCAGTGACAGCAGCATGTCAGTTACCCACGGAAATGTTGGTGAATGTCACCTGGGAAAGACCGACCAAAAAAAATCATTTGTACTCTAATGTTGGACTTATCTCAGTACAGATGTGTGTGTGCTTTTCTGAAAGGAGGAAGATATTTTAAATTTTTAAAACAGCTGTCAAAATGAACACTGTTATACACCTGTTTTATGAAAATTCAGCATTGAGTAAAAAAATATTTTTAACTTTATTTTCCTGTTGTACAATTTAAAAACCGTTTTAACATTTTGCCTTTTTATGTTTTAAAAGCTAACCATTTTTATTAAACTATGAGTAAGCAGCTCGTTCTAATCGCCGAAGAGTGTTTTTGGAGCTCACTGGATTTGGTTGACCTTATAAAACAGAAACACTGAAGGAACAGAGCATGGACAAGCTAAAATAGAGTTCTAACATCGTGCGTCTCTGCCAAAAAACCACACACCCTCTGTGGACGGATGTGAATTCCCAGATTTTATATACTCTTGAATAAAAAAGGTTTATTTTTATTTATAAGTGGACATAAATGTCCATGCAGCCATTTTTCCAACAGATGCTGTACACCGTTCATTTTATATAGAATAGGAAGACTCAAATACAGTGCATTTTTCTATTGGTCTTTGTTCTGTGCATTTTTAGCAACTTCTACCAGCAAATAAAGTATTCTCAGTAAAACAAAAACGGTTCTCAAGTCATCGGTCTTGCTGTTTCTAACCACTTGTTTCATGCCCTGCCAAAGTCAAGTTACACAGACTTCCGTTTTCATGAAATGTTTCCTTGCCATTCAGAAGTACTTTTAAGACATGTAACTGTCTTCTTCCCATGCACTTAATTACCCTGAACCTGCTAATTTTGTGAATTTGTTACCAATCATAGAAGTATGTGCTGCATAGAAGTCTGTGCTTAGAGGGTGACGTTCCTAAGCTTACCTTGAAATACAGCTACATTTCAGTGTTAAGTGTGCATATTAAGAAAAATTCTTTTGGAGAAAGAAATTCTGAATCTTCAGTACAGTCTTCAGTGGTTTAGAGTTACAATCTGCTTACTTTTAATGACTTGCTATTGTTTTTGAAAGTCCACTTTTTCCTGATTTTAATATAGGCTCCAAATTTCCAAGCCAGCCTATCCACAGCTGTTTCTGGGCTGGTTTTTAAAATAGCACCAACAGAATTGAGAGGCTTTCCCTTTTTACCAAAAATGAAGAGCATTTTTTAAAAAGTATGTGAACTGATTATCTTTTGTGTGGGAAAGCAAAACATGATTTTATTCATCCTTTTAGTAGACAAGATTTTTCTCAACATTTGTACAGTTCAGAGGAAAAAATACACACACACAAAAAAAAAAAACTTGGTCACCAAAAATGTTTTACCTACTAACTCAGCAAGTCCTAGGCTCCAGTTAAGAGATCTGGAGCCTTGCTCTCACCTAGCAGTGTGGGCTCACTGGAACTCAAGGGGCAGGGATGAATGGACTGTCCACCTCAGCCCTGTCTGGCTGTGATTCTGTCCAGGGACCCATCTTTGAGGGGCCCTGGAATAAGCACAGACTAACCCTATGCTTGACAGTCTCCAGTGAACAACACATGCTGACTTTGAATTATGGACCACCACACAACAACAAAGAAGGCTTAATCTCTACTCCAATGGGTTTCCAAGTTCAGTTTGAAGTCAATCAAATTTTTGTATTTTCAGTGTCTCCTTGATTGATTTTGCTAGTAATTCTGTAAATTGTACATTTGCAATATGAAGTTTTTTTTTCCTTTTGTACAATTTGAAACTGATGCTTCACCTTTCCTTTAATAAACTATTCAAAATGAGGCTTGTGGTGGTCATCCTGTTGTTGCTCCTGGGCAAGGGGGCAAGGTTTACAGAGACTGTTTCCTTGCTGCTGCCCTTAAAAGTTTGTTCTTTCAGGTGACTTGTCACATGATAGCAAGACTTTCATGTGTTTTTGGTGAGTTTTGTTTTGAGACAGGGTCTCACTTAGACCAAACTGGCCTCAAACTCACTGATCCACCTGCCCTTGCCTCCGTCTCCCAAGTGTTAGGAGTAGACATTTACCACCATTCCTGGCTAAGGTGTTTTATTTTTAAGAAAATAATTAAGAATTGTTAACAAGTTTTGAATTGCTCAAATTTTCCTACAAAGAATGATGAGGCTAAGTCCTCTTTCCTCCTACCTAAGATCCTGTGTGTTGCTCCTAGTAGTAGCCCTTTGGCAATTTCCAAGATTCTACAATTGGAAATTGCATCTCTGGAATGTAGCCAGACCTCACTCTGAAGCAGTTACAACCTACACTGTTTATGTTCAGAGTCATTAAATAGCTCAAATTGCCAATGTAGAAGAGGTAAGAACATGAGAGATAGATAAATCAACAGGGCAACCAAAGAAGGGGAGCTATGTTTAGTCACAGTTTTCCCTACTGTAATTTTCATCTGGGACAGACAGGCTTATTATAAATCTGAGCTGTGACCTGAATAGTTTGCCACTCAGTCTTGGCACCCAGGTAAGAATCCATAAGTAAGTGAACAGTAAATGCTTTGTGGTTTAGACTGTGTTAGACTCATCACTGAAGCTGGCTTAAAACTGAAGATCCGTGGAATGCAAGACAGATGAAAAGCACAAAAAATATTCAGTGAAACTATAGGGAAAAAATGTCCTGGTTCTAAAGTATCTTGAACAATCAGCATTTAGAATAAATAGCATGGTTGAAGAAGAATATTTCCACAACAAAAAAATTAAAATGTCATGACTACATAACAAAAACATATTCAAACTAGCAAGAAAAACATGCAAATTTGCTTGCAAAGGCAAACCCATCAAAATAGCATTAGACCTTAACAGAAATCCTAAAACCCAAGAAAACATGAACTAATGTATTTCAAAACTTGAAAGTAGTTGCTGATCAAAACAAGCACAAATGAAAACAATGTATACACACCAAGCCTAAAATGTAGAAGAAAGGGATGTAAATCCTACACAGGAGGGAAAAAACGCCAGAGCAAGGAATAAATTCCACAGAGGACTGACAGACAACTGAAAATCTTGTCTGGAGAGGTGAAGACATGCTTCACAGTTAAGAATACTCACGGCATTTTCCTTCCTAGCAACCAAGTTTGGTGGCCCACAACCAACGCTAGATCTAGGAAATCTGACATACTTCTGCCTTCTATGAGTATCTGCACATATTCAACCACCAGCAAACCTCTAGTATGAAGAGAGAAAGCAAAAAAAATCCCAACCATTAAGGAAAACATCAAAATTAGAGAAGTATGTAAACTTCTTTCAATAAGTAAATAGACATTTTCTTAGCCCCTTGTCTGCTTAGTTTTAGAGTCATTTGGGAAAAAAGTCAATTGAGAAAGTGCCTCTATGAGATTTGCCTATAGGCAAGTCTATAGGGCATTTTTTGTCATTAGTGTCTGATGTGGGAGGACCCAGTTCATTGTAGATAGTGCCACTCCTGGGCAGGTAGGTAGTCCTGGGTAACGAAAGCAGTCTGAGCCAGTCATAGGGAGTACACCAATAAGTACAGTTCCTCCATGGCTTCCGTCAGTGATAGACTTACAAAGTGTAAGGTAAAATAAACCTTTTCCTTCTCAGGCTTCTTTTGGTCATGGTGTTTTATCATACCAATAAAAACCCTAAGACATTCAGAAAGAGATAGAATTTAAAAGCAAAATGTACAAGTGGCTTGTCTACAAAAACAAAACAAAACCCAGAAAATCACAGACTGAAAGTGAAAAAATCGAAGTCAAACAAATGGAAATTGAAAACAAGCTGGACCAGTTATAATTTTATCTGACAAGACATTAAGCCAAACTAGAAAAATATAAAGGCAATAATTATTCTAAAGTCTATCAGTATCTTACAATTGCAATATATACTCACTGAATGTTTATGCACCCATTTTCACATATTGTTGAATAAATAGCTATGATAGTGGGTGACATCAGTACCTCAAATTAATGAATAGATATAGAAACCAGAGTTAAATTGGATCTCAACATACTTAATATATCTATATAATATTCCATCTAAAAACAGTAGAATGCACCTTCTCAGCAGCCCATTTTAGGTCAAGTGTTAAACACAAAAAAAGTAAAATTTATTAGATCATAGTGGAATAAAAATAGAAATCGACAATAGAGACTATTCAAATGTATATGGAGTAAACTGTGCTTGCATGATTAGTGTACCTTTGGAAAAAATTATCCAGAGAATTTTAAAACTAGAAGAAAATGGAAACACAGCCTAACAGAAACATTTGGATAAAGGTATTTTGGGGGGAGAAAAAAAAACGTTTTGTTTGTTTTCAGGTGTATGTGCATATCATGCCTATGGAAACCAAGCAATAATGGGGAAGTCTCCTTTTACCAAGTGCTCTAAATCAAGTTGTCCAACTTAGCACAAAGCACCCTTACCC